CCTCCCTCCCCTCCTCCCTCCCTCCTTCCCTCCCTCCTCCCTCCCTCCCTCCTTCCTTCCTTCCTTCCTTCCTTCCTTACGTCGCTCGATCAGTTTGTTGACTGACCAGTTGGTCGGTTAGTTGGTCGGTCTTACGTACGGGCATTTTATATCTTACCTTGGCCGAGTATGCCGAATCAAGAAAGAGTTTCTCAGACATAAACGTCGCCATACTCCRGCCAACCTCATGATAATTTATCACCTCATCTTCTGGTCCCAGGAGGATGAACAAAAACCTCACAGGTATCTTCACTTCTGCTAAGTTCTGCAGGTTACAGCCGTGTAGAAGTCGAACAAAAGCCCCTGAAGGTCTTGTGAGATCCTCATGGGTTCCCACAAGAACAGTAGTGGCTTCAGCATTCTTGGGGATATGCCTCTGTATTGTTGACACCGTGTTAGGTAGCGCAACTGGCTCAGCTAGAAAGGAGTACTGAGGCTTATCTTTTGGTTGGGAGGACGTTCCTTCCCTGATAATATTTTAGATAATTTGCATTAGAAAATGTTGCTGATGAAATGCAGAATATCGCCATTCTTATCAAATGTTTTATGCAAACAAAAGAAATAATACTCAAGGGAATGATAAATGGTCCAGATTGGGAAAGTGAATAGAAAGAATTCAAAGATTGGAATTAATTTATCTTACATTATTTTGTAAGTAAAATGAGAGGGATAAAAAGTATTTGCAAACCAACTAAGTCTATCTTTTCAAAGAAAAAGTGATAGAGAATAGTTTTTCAAAGTCAACTTACCCCGATGTTTCGTCCGATTTGTCTTCCACAATTATCGGTAATCCCTTATTGTATTTCGTGCTAGTTTTGCTATTAGTGGACGTAGGAACAACACGAGAAAAACGACGACCGCTTGTTGAGCCCCCATGTTTCTTTTGTAAATTATGTAGATGAGGTGTTAGAAGAACAGAAATGAAAACATCCTTCTCTTCAGGAAGCAAAGAGCCCAGAGCGATGAGCTGTTCAGCCACTGTAATCGCAATGTTCTGTAAATTATTTTCATCTAAATCCAGAAGAATTGCTCCGTTTTCAAGTGTTCTTCTCACATCTCGAACACTCGAGAAATTCAAACACGGTACGTGAGGTTTACCCCATCGATTTGCATTTTCTTCAACATCTTCTTCGAACTTGATCCATCTTGCGGTTTCTTTCCAAACACATTCGTTGTCCTTCCCATAAAACTCCTCCAATTCCACAAAACCTTCGTGTGAAGACTCCCCAATATCTTCCTCCAAATCAAGTGCCAAACTCATCGGGTCTTTAAAGTTTTAAAACCTCTATTCATCTTTAAAAATCTTTCAAAAAGTTTCAAGTTTGCAACTGCTCTAGCGTACAGTCAACCGTTGTTACTCGCGTGATGCAGCACGTCATGGATTCACGGGACGTAAGACGCACGAGTTTGACCAGCGCGCGCGCTCTCTCTCTCTCCGTTTCAACTGACAGAATTTTCGAATTTTTCAAAATCTTTGGTGATAACTTCGAAACAATCAAAAAAAATTTTTATAACAAGAAATGAATTGTAAGACAGAAATAAGGATTTTTTCGATATTCACCATCTTTTTTTCCGGGACAACCTTCAAGTACGTTTTAAAGCACATTTAGAAAGAAATAAACGTTGGTTTTTCGCTTTGGCGTGCGCGCGCGACTTTGAATGTTTGGCTCCTTTGGCGCGCGCGCAAAACATAAACAAATGATCGAAATAAAAAAAACAGAAAAAATACTACAAAATATTATTTTACGATAAAACGGGATAACCTGATTGATATTTTTATGCTGAATCGTCGCCATTTTCCTTACTCTTTGCTACAGTCGCTGGGATAGATAAGTCAGACTTACAAACAATGCTAGGACCATTGTCTTTCTTAAAAGCAAAATTAACGTGGGATTCTGAAGAATTGTCATTCACATCTCGTCCGCCGTGGTTGGATCTTCGTCGTCTTGTGGGAGCTGACCGACTCTCCTTGGCAGTAGGATCGATGTGTAGCTTTGCCATCGGGCTGACGCCTTCCAGGAGTCTCTTGAGTTCCATCAAGTGTCGTTCTTTCTGTTTTGAAGAGAAAAAGAAAAAATAACAAATTGACAGCTGTGACTGACACTATTGGCCTCATCTTCTCACATCCCTAGGAAAGGAAGGGAAGATGATATTTTTATACCAGCTTGGGTCACATTACCTCTGTTAAGATCTTCTTCAGAACAGAGTTTTCCTGTGTAATTCCAGCACCTGTGCTAGAGGCAGTATCAGTGATAGGACTGGAGATGTTACGATTGGTCTCTTGTTCAGCTGTTTCTGCTCCACCGAGTAACTTTATTATCTTGAAATATTGAGAGAGAAAGGATGCACAGGTCACATAAATATTTCAGGGCCATTGCCTTGTACTTTTTTCAGGGGATTGTCATAATAATACTCTGAACCAATGCAATAAATGGCAAAAAAACTAAACTTTGAATTAAAAGGGAGAACGAACAACCACATCTACACTACTCATATATATTGTGTAAATGATTTGCTGTTTATTCGATTACGTCACTTCGTCAATTACTATTAGCGTAGTATAATGTTTCAGCCTCGTGGCTTTAGATTGAATACTGTACGGGAGGAAAGAGGTATGTACTATGTTATCCTTCTTATTTTCCACCCCCTTTATATCATATATTTGGTGTTACATGATGATTTACAATCACCTATACCTGATTACGGAAGAAACCCATCAATATCTTTAGATCCATACTTCAACGTATACAAATCTGTTATGATTTAAAGAACAAAACTTATACAATGTTACCAAAGTTTACGCATGTGAT